TGCGGTCCTACACAAGTGAAGCGCACCATAAGAGGGTTAGCCCAAGTGAGGTTCCATCCCAAAACCAATTGGTGATGGGAGGAGTAGCCCACTAGACTTATAAACTAGACTCATTTACCCTATCAAATAAATGTGGGACAACTCACAAGTGACATTCCAACATCAATCCATAATTAACTCATCGACCCTCTAAATTATTTTAGTACCAACTTGATGGTGAAGAATGCAAAAAAAAAAAAAAGCCCTTTATTGTTTAAGAAATATAATGGAAACAGGCGCTCCTCCAAGATTAAATTCAAGATAATTATATTGTGTTGATTGAAGAGTTCAAACAACGTAGTGTTTTTTTTTTTTAAATCTAAAAAAACACTTTCTAAGTCCTTGACTCAACATTATTAATTTGAATCCATTTTGAAAGTAAGATGGAACAAAACATCAAAGCATTCACTAGTAAATTAAGAATTTTAAATTGTAATATTTAAAAAAACATAATTTTTAGTTACTCTCTACTCTACACCATGCACACTTGCACTATAGAGTAGAAAAATATGTAAAAAAACCTCATAATCATTTTTATTTTATTTTTTTGGTACAAAGAATGAGGCAAAAAGCTTAGGAAAACCGTTAGACAATTATATTCCACGGGTAAGCAATGCCAACAAAATCATGTTGTAACCACGGTTTAACTGTCGACGGTGGATCTGGAAGTCGTTGGTAACCACTGGGGCAGTGATGAGCTAGATACGCCAAACAGTCGGCTGCAAAGTTGGCCTCCCTATAACAATAGTTCACATTAACTACCCATTCTCGTCCAAGAAGCTCCCTAATTGCCCGAACTAGACTGCCATGAACGTCGAGATTCTCTGTCGAACTTCCCATCGCCATCCGCACCACACTGATGCTATCGACTTCAACCAGGACCCGACGAAAGCCCAACTCCCAGGCTAACATCAAATCGTGAAAAAGGCCCCATAATTCTGCTCTAGTGCTGAAGCAATACCGATGTTCATCACAAACCCCCCAAGCCATCTACCAGCATAATCACGGGCCAAGCCCCCAGTAGACGTCATCCCACTCAAAAGCAATAGAGAGCCATGTGTGTTGGTTTTAATCGTACCAGCCTCGGGAGCAATCCAACAAATAAAAATATAAAATGGACTCCTCTACCTGAACCCATGCCGCCCAGGTGGGACTCATCATCTTATTTTCTCCACCACTATTATTATTATTTTCATCTGAGAGAAATGGGAACTCGACAAGGAGAAGTGGTGTGTGTGACCGGCGGCAGCGGCTACATTGGCTCATGGCTCGTTCGGCTCCTCCTCGACCGCGGCTACACCGTTCACGCCACCGTCAAGAACCTTGGTTATATCCCATTCCTTCTCATTCTCGATCCTCTCCTCGTAGCTCGACTCTCCCTTAGCTTATTTCTGACTTTTGATTTGCGTCGCATCTTAATTGGGTATCAGGGGATGAGCGAGAAACGAAGCACTTGGAGGCCATGGACGGAGCTCCATCCCGCCTCCGTCTCTTCCAAATGGATCTGCTCCACTATGACTCCATAGCAGCTGCCGTCGCCGGCACCGCCGGCGTCTTCCACGTGGCTTCCCCCTGCATCGTTGATCAAGTTAAAGACCCAGATGTGAGAATGCCCCCAAAAACTTTTTAATACTTCAAAAGAAACAATTTTAAGGTATTTCTGTTGTGGAATTTGTTTGTTGTTTACTGTTTGTGTTATTTTCATATATAAATATTCTTCTTCAGCGCGAGCTGTTGGATCCGGCGATTAAAGGGACCATTAATGTACTAACGGCGGCAAAAGAAGCTGGTGTTCGGCGCGTGGTGGTCACATCCTCGGTGGCGGCTTTTATTCCCAGCCCTAATTGGCCAGCCGATAAGGTTAAGGATGAGGATTGCTGGACTGATGAGGAGTACTGCAAGCGCAAGGGGGTTATCTCCTTCACTCTCAATGATCGTTTAAATTTTTATAAATTCCTTGGCACTAAATTGATATCGAAAATTAGGCTTCAGCAAACGGCAAAGATGTATAAATATAATAATGCTTGTGAATCCAATGTTAATTCATCTGGCGGACCAACAGTTACCGCAGGCATAATTCTCTGTTAAATGCAATTTCGAAAACGTTGGCTTGTTGTTGATGCTAAAGTTGTCTTATCTAAGTAACTATGTGTGTGTGATCGAACGAGCCAACTATGTAAAAGAAAGTTACAGGTCCCTGCAGGTTTGGTACTCACATGAAATCCTAAAATGCTCTCAGTGATTCTGTTTTGCTGTTAGGTGTGGTATCCACTTTCCAAAACCCTTGCGGAGAAGGCTGCTTGGAATTATGCCGAGGAAAGTGGGCTGGACGTTGTTGTGGTGAATCCAGGGACAGTGATGGGTCCCATTATCCCTCCAGCAATAAACGCGAGCATGCTCATGATTCTCCGCCTTCTACAGGGTAATTGCATTCTAGCATCATCATGCTCCACACTTTAGCTTTCTAGTGAAACTATCCTTTGAGGACCAACTTGACAATTACAAAGTGTTCACAAAGTTATTACAGTGCCTTAAAGGGCTCGCTTGTTTACAAAATAATCCGTCCAAAATGAGTTATTTTGGTTAACCATAGTTAATTTTGAAAAAGGTGATATGGTTAGTTGCTAGTGGGATTTTAAGAATGTACAACAACAACAACAACAACAAACAAAGCCTTTTAGTCCCAAACAAGTTGGGGTAGGCTAGAGATGAAACCCAATAGAAACTAAAAAAAAAAAAAAACGAAGAAGATTAGAGCAAAAGAGAAAGGAGCAACAGTCACGGTTCCGGCACGTTGATCGCTAGTCTCCAAGTAAAATAATATTAAAATAATATTCAAAGTAAAATGATTAAAATTGATTTGATGTAAAAGTAGAAAATAAATGATTGACCCATTGGAAATGATTGGAAATGATATGTAGTTAAAATTATGTGAGTGAATGAATAGTGAATAGTGAATTACAGGAGATTGTTCGACTATACAAACAGATTCTGAATGTCATATTATGATCACAAGGGCCCGAGATATTTCCCTCATATAGAGCTAAAAAACATCTTTGCCTAAGGTATAAAGACTAGAAAATCCTATGAAAAATAATCACGAATTGGATGCATCATTGTGAAGCTTCTTCTTTTACTCATATAACCATTAATGGTTTTATTCGTCTTTATCAACATTGCCCTGCAGATGTGAACTTACAAATAACGTGCGTAGATGCACACAAACAACAATGTATTTATGTTGAATGCTTTGTATTTTTCGCTAGGCTGCACAGAAGTGTATGAGGACTTCTTTATGGGGTCTGTGCATGTTGAAGATGTGGCTCTTGCACACATATTGGTGTATGAGAATGAGTC